CCGAGCCAGCTACAGCACATCCAGACAGTCAGAGTCAGAGAAACAGGACTACATTGAAAAACAGGCCAATCTCCAACATCTATACACAAAGGTGTTGAAGGCAGAAGCACAGCTGATATTTCTCTCTAGGATGGAGTCACAGCCAAACATAAACAGACGAGGCTAAGCTACTATGAGAAAAAGCAGAAAGACCGTAATGTTAGAAATTGAACTAACAGATTCTGCAGAGTGGGTTAATAGAGATAGAATCAAGCAGAATGATGAAAAAGGGGTCCCTATGTCCTCCAGAAATCTAAGCCTATAGCAGCATAACTATAGAGATAGCTCAGGATAACCTGAGCACTAATAACAGTGCTATTGAAGTCAAATTTACGGTTGGTTCTAATGGGACGTTTATAGTAATCATAGCTCTGCAGGACCTTTTTTTCTTATTTTTTTTCCACACTTAATGATTGTCTGAAGATGAACGTTAAATTCTCGGAGTGCCCCAAGATGGTTTAGCAAGTTTTGGTAACTTGGAAGGAAAGTAATTCAGACAGCCTTGTCTTATAGCCACTTAGAGCCACTTGACTTATTGGAAAAAGGAAATCTTCATCAGTGAGGACAAAGCCTGACCCTGATGGAGTTTAGGTTGTTTGCTAAAGACTCCGATATGAAGAAAGGAGAGAACTGTGTTTTCTCTTCTTTTTGTTGCTTTTTTAAAGTTCAGAGCTTTTATTGTTTTAGTTTTTTATATGTACTCAAACAGGGCAGGAAGAAAGTCGTGAAGACTAAAAGCTGTGATTTTCTTAGTAATTAATGTTTCTTACTCGTAAAACTAATCATATCTTCGGTATAATGATGTTTATTTTCATGTTTCTTGTTAATTATTTTTTAATTATTGCTGTTTTGCCTTACAGAAAAGAACCAGAGAGAAGCTGGTGAACGTCTTGTCTCTGTGTGGACAAGAAGTGGGACTTACCAAGAACCCATCGGTAAGCTACTTACCTACGGTATCATCTGTGTGTTATAAGTATTTATTATTGCCTAACATAAAAGGACAAAGCCATTAATCTCTAGTTTGAGGTTTTTCTCTCTAACTTTAAAGCTATTTTTTCCTCTTTGTCTTTATCAGCTCTTAACTGTTTCTGTTTATTTTGCCAAGGTGATTTTCTCCTCCTGTGGTGACCTGGACATGATGGAGGTGCGGGAGAGCGGGGTTTCGTCGGAGGAAGGCGGCACGAGGGAGGACACTTTGGATGACACCGCCAGCGAACAGCAGTTTAGAGTTTTCAGGGACTTTGACTTCCTGGATGTGGAGCTGGAAGACGGGGAGGTGAGAAGGATTGGATTGAACCTGATTTCCTCTTCCACCTCTTCACTTTCTCTCTCCTTCCTGTTCTTTACTGTTTGTCCTTCGTTAACATCAACATGTCTGAAATGTATTCCTCTGTTCCTCCTGGCCTGTCCCTCTGTCTAACTCTGTGTCTTTCTCTCTCCCCCTCGCTGCCCAGGAGCTCCAGGTAAGTCCCCCCCCCCCCACACTGAGCACTTAACACGAGCTTTTATAAGCGCTGTGGTGTTGCTGGCTCCCTTTTCTCATGCTGAAAGTTACTGCTTCATTTTGCTCACTCAGCTTGGTGTTACAGTCTTTTCTTTATTGCTGTTTTTTGTGGGATAAAAGTTCACACCGAATGCATATTTTGTCCCCATGAGTAACGATTCATTTTGCTTTTTATGCTGATAAATAAAGCTGCTTCTTATTCCTATAAGATCGACCTGATGGAGGAATCTGCATTTTCGCCCCATCTGTTTTATGGCTGTGTGTGTGTTTAATTCAGGGAGAGACTGTTGATAACTTTAATTGGGGCGTGCGACGACGCTCTCTGGACAGCACCGAACTGGGCGACCTGTTGGAGGAAAGCCAGCACTCAGGCAGCACCCCAAGTTTGGGTCATGAAGACCCCCATGACTCAGACGAGTCCTCAGAGGAGGAGGAGTCCTCAACCAGCCAGAGTCTCTCCCACTCCCAGCTTGTGTGTAACTTCAGCATTTAAATCAGCACTTTCCTTTAGGGTCAGAAAAATCTTATCCAGATGTCCTTTTCATTCCAGACTAACCCTTCTCCATCAGAGGAAACCAACCACACAGATTCTCTATCTACATCATACGACATATCAGCTGACCCCCAGTCCATGAACGCATCAACCCCGGGTCAAGGAGTCCTTGGCGACGATCACCGTGGACTACATGTGAGGAGCGCTTCAGCTATTTGTACAGCTCTGTTAATTTGCATGATTTTATGATTAAAGAAAGGTTTTTATTTCCTCAGGGTCGGCCGTGTGGTGAGGACGAGGACACTCAGGTTCAGGATGACGAACTGTCTCTGAGCGCACATGAGCCGCCGCTCGGCTCAGACTGCGGCGAGAGCTTTACTCTTGATTTACCGGGCCAAGCTCAGGATCAGCTTTTGAATATCGCCCGCGGTCTCAACCCAAACTACTGCCAGCCACCACTGGACTTTCTGCCCAGGTAAAAAGATCAGGATACAGCCTAGCTTTGTTGTTAAAGCTCCTCTCTTTAATCCTGAAATGATTCTAGGAGCCTAATTTCATATATTTTCAAACTGTTGTTCTGCTTTTATATTTTTATTGCAGTTAAAATCTCACCTATTCATAAATAAACGTTTTGTATCATAGAGTTTCTTGTTTGTATTTTTAAAGCTTGCGTGATGACGTCGATGATTTGGAGGACCTTGGGTTTCCGCCTCCCCCCTCTCCTTTTTTCTCCGCCATCTTGGCAGCGTTCCAACCCACAGTGTGCGACGACGCTGAAGAGGCGTGGCGTTGTCACGTCAGCCAGCTTGTGACAGATTCGGACGGATCCTGCGCCGTCTACACTTTTCAAGTCTTCTCGTCTCTCTTTAAGGTAGAGAACAGGGAGGAGTGGCTGAAAATAATCATCATTTGTGACATTTTCCGTCTCTTTGGAGTCGGTTATTTTCTGGATTTAGCTCTAATCTCTCTAATCCCTAACACACATAAACGGCTCTTTAGTAGAAACAGAAGGTTCAGATCTATTAGTAAATCAGTGATTAGAAAGTATTAATTTATTTCCATAAAATAAAGCATATTTATTTAACCTGAAACTTTTAATTACTGAAACTGAAATCTTGATTGCGATGTAAATTGTAGTTGACATTAAAGAAAGATATTGATTGATTGATTGATTATAGTAAACTCACAAGAAAGCACCTAAGTACATGTTTGATTTGTTTATAATAGTTGTGAGCCTTTTCTTCATCTGATGTGCTCTCAGTATTTTACCTGTTGATTAACGCCTTTATTCACTGTAGTAAAATAAAACCTAAAAAATTTTTTTCACAGAACATTCAGGGGAAATTCTGCTCCTTGACAAATGATGTGGCCACATACCTTGGCGAAGGATTACGAGGCATTGGGTCGAAGTTTCTGAAGTCTTCCCAGATGCTGACCACCTGCTCAGATTGCCCAACAATCTACATCGACGCCGACACTGTGAGTGCTGATGGATTCTCTCATGCTGACGCCTCTAATGGTTATATAATGGTTATATGACTCATAATTGATGGTACTTCGCAGATTATGTCCTACGGTCTGCTGGAAAAGATGAAGTTCAGTGCACTGGAGCTGCAGGAGTATCTGGATACGTACAACAGCAGAGAGGATGCGGCTGTATCGGTAGCTCTGCCTTTCTTACTGCATGTCTGTATGGTTGCAATCCAAGATATTTCACCCATCTTATATTTTTATACATCAGTGGCTGAGGAACTGCAAGGACACCTTTCCTAGATGTCCCGTTGAAAACGTTGTTACCTGCCAACCTGGAGACTCAGAGGAGAAGGTACCGGCTTCCTAATGAATGTTCTCATTTCTTAAAGCTGTTCTCCGTATTTCTCTTGCTTCTCCTCTGTTTTGACGCACTAAACCGTTTGTTCTTTCTTCACGACTAAGTCTTAGTAGCCCGACTTTATCAGTCTTGGTGAAATCAATGCTTTGCATGTGTTTGATTGATGCTCTGTTTTCCTCTCACCTCACTGATGCCCTAACATGCTCTATCGCTGTCTAGCAAATGGAATCTCTTGCAGTAAGTTATCTCACAAGTCTCTTAACTTACTTTTCGCAAGATTGTCAGCTAATCAGTTGTGTGTCTTAGTAAATGCATGGACGGTATGTGAATGTGTTGTAATATTGGCGGGTTATGTGACTTTTGTTTTTTTCTTGGATTCTTACAGCAACTGGAGCTCTGCCAGCGGCTCTACAAGCTGCACTTCCAGCTGCTGCTACTCTTCCAGTCCTACTGCTCGCTCATTGGTCAGGTTCACGCCATCAGCTCCGTGCCCGAGGTAAATCCAAACAAATGGTGAAAAGCATGACCTAACTGAGCAAATGGATGGCAGATTTCCCCGCCCTTTACTTAACATAACCCTTTATGTTATGCAAAGAAGAGGTTCCAAGATGTTTCCATAATCTGCTCAAATTAAGGGCAAATAGACTTGGTTTTATATTTTTACCTTTTTGGATAATTTTTTTGTAGTTACTAAATAAATGTATTAAGATAATATATGCTGACAGAAGAGACCGTAACGGATTCATCCCTTGGACCAATTTTAATATTTCATCTGTATAATTTACATTAACGATTGTTTTGAAACTGCAGTGGGTCGTACCAAGATAGGATCTCAGTTTTTATGTTAGATCAGAGTCTGCGATCTTGGCATCGTGGCCCACTTAATAAACTAATTGATGAGCTTCTGCCCCGTTTGTTTTTCTGTCTCTCTGTTATTGGTTCTGTGCCCCCATTAAAGAAAACGCCAGCCCTACTCTGGCCCCCATAGTAAATTTCGTCCAGAACCGCCACTGTAACACTGCATACTACACATCCCCATCTCTTCCTAGTTTTGGATCCTTTGTGTTAGCCTGTTACCCCAAAACAATAAAATACATTCAATTTTGTGGTTTTAATGATAAAAACCACACAAAAGATGCAACTCCTGTGTATGATCTTGTAAGCATCCTAAATCAGTTCTTTCTACATGACGATATCTAGAGACGGCTTTCCTTCTGCATGACGAGAATCACACACATCTAACCTCTGTCTCCCACCTCTCAGCTGCTCAACATGTCTCGAGAGCTCACGGGTTTGAAGAGCAGTCTGCAGGCAGCAGAGGCGGCCGTAGCCAGTGACTTGGAGCACAAACATTTGGCCCACACCCACGCACACGCCGCCCAGCTGGCAGCCATGGTCGTCCCTGACTTCCCCTCCTCTGAGGCAGCTGTGCAGGCCATACTGGAATGCCTCAGGAGCCACGAGTTTACCAAAGCTGTGCGCTACATCCAGGAGTGCAGGTGAGGACGAAAACAAATTTATTTTATCAAAATTTAATCATTTATTGATATTTCTCGTCTGATTGTTGAGGAAACTGTTCAGCGTCTGCCTTAAATAAAACACACATAACGATGTGAACCTGTTTGATGTCCTCATCAGGAGGCAGTGGCCCAGCGGCGTATTTGGCGGCAGCTCAGAGACCGAGGTCCAGACGCTGCTCAACATCTACTTCCGCCACCAAACTCTGGGGCAGACGGGCACGATCGCTCTGGTGGGCTCCCGACAAGACCTCAGCCTCATCTGCTCCAAGCTGCTGGAGCTCAACGGCGAGATCCGCGACATGATCCGCCGCGCCCAGGGTTACCGCGTCGTCACAACTTACCTCCCCGACTCCAGTGCCTCCGGGACAAGCCTCTGACAGGAGCTCAGGGGCCCCCTGCCCCCTCCCTCCCCTCCTTCACCTCCCCCATACATGCAAGCATTGACAGCAGCTCCACCTCCATTTCAGAGCGCTCCTACAGAGGAGGCTCAGCATCCACACACATGGCCGCTTCCTCCTCCCATATGTCTGCTGCCTCGGCTGCACAGCTTCAGGCAGATAACACAGCAGAACCAGGACAGTGTTTAGATGGAGACATACACCTCCCCCTGCTGTCCTCACTAACACCCACAGCCAACTTGGACATTTCTTTGCACGATTTTCCCAAACCAGAACATCAAGATTACACACTGCCGCGCACTAGACAGCCGAGGAGGACTCATTTCCGTGAGAAAACAGGTGTTTACTGTCCTTTCAGAGCTTATCCATCACACATGTCTCCTCCGTCAGATCAACACGCTGATAAAAACTCATCATCATCATTTCAACCCAACGTCCTCCCGACCGTAGCCTCAGAGCCCAACGCCGTCACTAACTCCCAATCAAATGTTCCCTATCAGGGCACACATCTTCCCCGTTTCCCCCGTTCTCCGTACAAGCACCCAAACAGACAAGATTCAGCCTCAACCCAGACATCATCATCACTCCCTCCCTGCCCCACCGGCCCAGCAGAGGCTGCAGCCTGGAACTGCTGCTGCCCGCTCACCGGCGGGGCGACGCCCTTAACTCGTTACCTGGGGAAGGTGGGCCAAGCCGCCCTGCCCCTGCTGAAAGTAGGGGAGCTCCTGAACAATGAACCGCCGGATGTCCAGACCTGAGACGACGGAGGGCGTGAAGATTTTTCCCACTGAGGATTATAACCTGATCTTACTGGAAGCTACAGATTGCTGCCTGCTGAGAACAAAGCCCTGGTTTTATTTCCAGAGCTGTGTATCGTTCAAATTCCAGTCTAGTTTTATTCCTGCTTGATCTGGACCTCTAGAAGGCTTCTGTGAAGGTATCGCAGAAGCAGCGAGGATGCTCTGTAGCATCACTGGAAAAGTGTCATATTTTGCACCAAATTGTTAAATGTTCTTTTTTTAATGTTAAAGAAAGAGAATTATGTGACTAAAGGTAACGTTGACTCTCTGAGCAGTTCAGCGATCTCCACTGGATGAAGCTGTGCAATGCATGAGCCCAATTATACTACTGGACCCCTCCTCAAAAAAAAAAAAAAAAGCTCCACCTAGGACTGATGTAGAGGTTTGGAGCTCATTTCCTTTTGCCGCTCTGCATCTGCAAATCAGCTCTTCCTCTAACTACTGTTGCGAACACTGGCGGACCGTCCTCTGTGCTAGCCCTAGCATCATTAGCGAGCGTGTGCACTGTATTTCTCTTTGTCGTGCTCCCTCAATGCGCTCTGGTGTCAGGAGGATGGCCCATGTACCTTCAAACGTTCTGTCAGTAAACTGCTAGTCATCGTCGGGGTCGCGCAGCCACAGTAGCATATTTTTGTGTACGGTTTTGTAGTTGCACATAAGGGAAATGCTGACATTCAGCATATATAGTTGATGTTTAAACAAAACCCAACCGCTTACTGTCGTCAACCCTCCTTTTCCTTTTACTGTAAAAATGTCTTGATTCCTATTTATAGCCGATCAGCAAGACAGCACTTGTTTGACTTTTTTATTGATGTTTGTCGTCTCAGACCCAACTGCCATGCATGCATGTTTAGTGTTCTGTATGGGGTACTGGAAATATTTATTATCATGTTTTATCTGAAAGATATGTTTGTGTGAGGTACATAAGGGAGCTCCAAGCTCAGGTGGGTGTGCTCTTTTTGTTTTCTGTGTGGGAGAACGTTTGATTGCATGCCATACAAGAAGTTGCACATTTTTAAAAGCTTTTTAGATGAAGACGGTTGTTTTTTCACCATGTAAATAGTTTTACAGCTTCTGTGAATTTTTTTTGAGTTGGAACTCTGTACAATTGGTGTCGAAGTAAAGACATATCAGAACCACTTCTTCTTCGCTACTTTTTATAGAACATTTAACACACTTGATTCTAATTTAGTAACAAACACACTATAGCTTTAGAAAGGAACATATGCTTCTTTTTAAAAATTAAAGGTATTGTGGAGAACTTTTAAAAAGGCCCTCAACACTTAAAAAATAAAAGGAATTGGAACAGCGTGCACGAGCCCATTTTTCCTCGTGCATGCTCTGTTTATAAATTGCTGTTCTCATAACTCATACAAGCTCAGTGTCCGAACGTCCACCCTAACCCCTAAATCACTATAGAGAGTGGGGACTATATAGTGAACTCTGTTAACTGTTCGGACAGATGATCACTACTTTTTGCTCCCTTGGTCACAGAGCTCCACTGCACCACATCTTTTTTAGTCTCTTCTGTCGGGTAGCTACAACGGTGCTGTGACAGAAAATCCCATAATGCTTTGCGAGGAGAGCTCTATGCATCCAGGGCCCTTGTACCATAGATAGAAGCTGCTGGAGGTTGAGTGGGATGACAGAATATCCTTAGGGAGGCGATAAAGCAGATGTGGGAGGATCAGCTGAAATGAAGACGATTTAATGATTGGCCCCGGAGAGGTGCAGTCCCTTCATTAAAAATCAGGTGTTACAGGACAGACCGATACAATTTCTGGATTGAATTTCTTATTGGTCAAATAATTCAAAAAAGGTTCCTAAACCCAGTATATACAAACATTTTACAGTGCATTGCATATGGAGGAAAATAAGAAATTTATAATACAAAAATGTTGCATGAGCCCCAGTATTTACACCAAAAATTTCAGACATTAAAATAGAGTCTGTGTTATACCTCAAGGCAATCGTGTCATGTCTCATTTTACCCTTTGATTGCATTTTAGCTCAGTCAATTTATCCCCAGATAACCAATTATATACCTGGACTACACCTCAAGCCAAAAGGTGTAGTCCCTGTTAATAAAGTCACACCATGACAGTTTTACTTCACAATTCTTTCATGTCAACATTCAAATTTAAACCCACGGTGCATTTATAATTCATAAACTTTATTTCTTTTACAAAAATACTTTAACATTTTACCGAAATCCAGAGTACACAAAGTGGGGGTCCCCCAGTAACTTCAGAGGTCATCTAAACTAAATGGGGGAACAGATTCAGCATGCCGCTTCTGGGAGAATAAGAGGCCGCTTCCTGTGACATGGTCTTTGGCTCAAACACCATGATATACAGAGACGTCTCATCCGCTCAGACTATGTATTTGAAGCTGTAGGTGGCGTCACAGGACAACCTCATCCCTTTACAACGGCAGCACAGGTCCTGGCGGTGAGGCCGCTTCATGTTGATGTGTCTCTGCTTCTTCTCACAGCTGCAGCAAGTCTGAGAGCAACCCTACAAATATTCAAAAATGCCATGCAGTGAAGACATCGGGTACCAAAGTAGTTCACAACCAGCAGGTCATTGACTTAAGGCAGACAGCTGTACCTTGCAGACAATCGACTCCACTCTGTATGGATTAAACCCCACCTGGCACTTCCGGCAGAGCTGCTTGTAGTACACCTAAAGGTGAAAACAACCAAAAGTTAAGATAATTGAACGCCAATACGGATTTACACAGTCGTCTGAAGGGGATCACTTGCCTTACTGGTGCCAGAGATGCACCAAACATAAGCACTCTCCCACCGGATGTTGCACTTCTTGCAGTGGAAGAAGCCGTATCTCTGTTCCAGGAACTAAGAAAAGAGTTCACCATAAAACTAGGAACTAAAAGCATTTTCTGATAAAAGAGCAATCTAAGGAGCAACACAAACTGAAACTTTACCTTTGTTTTAAAAAAAAAATAAAGAAATTCATTAGTTTTAGCATCCAGATTAACAGAGATCGTATGATGCACCAATATGTAGTAATGAAAATTCATATAGTAATATGAAATTTAAAAATATGTTGAAAAAAAAGTTTTTCTCAAGCTTTTAACTAGATTTTCTAAAGTGCTGGTTATACTCCTGCAGCAGTGTGTCGCAGTGAGTTCCACGCAGACATTTTTGATTATGCTTAATTTTGGTCATATTGGCCTGCGCCGTTATTCCACGCCACAACGCAAGAGGGATAATCAGGAACCAGCTGTGGGTCTAGATACGGCCGAGGCGGTGAGGAAGTAGGGGCAAGTTCGTCCGACAACAGAGGGACATGGCGGCGAAAAAGAGCAGGGATCCAGGTATGAAAAGGGTCCCAGCATTCTCGCACACCTAGCTGGTCCAACTTTACGAGTCGTTTTCCACAATGGCAGACATACAAACAAAACAATTCGGTAAGGTGCCAAACAGGAAATACTCATGAGTAGAGCAGATTTAGATTTGACCAATCAGAGGCCTCCTGTCTGCGGTCAGGTATAATTAGGGGTGCAGCAGACAACCTGGTTTTGAAGTGTAAATCTGCCATGTAAATCAGTCCTTGGGTCGCCGTCCTGCAGGCTTTAAAAGTTTCTCTGCTTTAGCACAGCTGATTCTGATGAGTGCAGTTTTGCAAAAGGCTGTTGATCAGCTATCGATGTAAATCAGAAACCTCTAAAAGCTGCAGGACTGCAGCCCTAGGACAGACTTTGGGGATGCCTGCTTTAGAGTGAAGGCTGAGCTATAAAAAGTTATTAGGTTAAAACAAAAACATAATCTACACTGACTGCATATGGAAAGAAATTAAACCTTGGGTCGCCCCCTTTAACCAAGCAGCCCTGGGCAGAGCGCCATAATGCAGGTTTTAAACCCACCTGGAAGTCTGAGCTCCTGGTTGATCGGTGAATCGTAGGCTTGAAGCCATTTTCCAAGCTGTCGCCACTCTGATCCGCCTCATTGTCAGACTTGGTTTGCTCGGAGGCTTCGGACGGTTCCGGTCCAACAGCACAGTCACTGAGACTCTTGAGGCGGAACCTGCGGTCAAACACCGGGGAGTAGATGGACACAGGTCTGAGGAAGCGCAGGCTGCTGACAGGCGGCGTGCCCAGCAGCGCCTTTCCCTCCGCTTGGCTCTCATCGAGGCTCTCCGGGTTCCTGCAGCAGGAGGCAGGCTGGCTGCAGAGCAGCGTCTTTGGACCCAGAGAGCATTGGACCATCTGATCCACCTTAGCGTTCACCTGCACGCCGCACTCTCTAGTGGCAACCTTCCTGCTGGGGGGGGAACCGGGGTTGACTTGGGACAGGATGGTCTTGCAGATCTCCAGGTAGTTGAAGCTCTGAGGGATGAGGAAACGCCCCCCTCTCTTCCCCCAGCCGCCGCCCTGAGCTGGGGGAGCGCACAGCGGGCTGCCATATATGCTGAAGTGGGGGGGTGTGGACAGGAACCCCTCCATCCTGGAGCCATGAAACCATTTTAACATCATCTTGTTGCTTTTTATACTCTGGAAGGCACTGATTGCTTAATTGAGGCCTGAGTGTGCAGATTAAAAATAAAGAGAAACCCTTTGGGAGCCAGGAGATTGTGATGGAAACATGTGCGTCATTAGTAAATAATGAACCTACAGTTTGATCTAAAGTCAAAGAAAGAAATGTGCAAAATACCATAAAAACTGGAAAAAACACAAATGTGAACTTAAAGTGATTTTGTACACAAGCAGTAATAGTTTTGAATGATGAAAAAGTTTTAGAATAGAATAGAAAATCCCTTTTTTGTCCCACAATGGTCCCCACCACCATCACACAGTCCAACTGTTGAAAAAAACGAAATCTGCATCTCACTGATAACACCAAACACTGAATATTTGCACCATACCTATTGATGCTCTGAACTTTATAATGATAATGTTTTTTTATAATTGAACGTTATTGATCTCACATTGGACAAAATTAACCTCTGCATTTAACCCATCCCCTTGGGAAGCAGTGGGCTCCCATTGTGGGGCACCCAGGGAGCAGTGTGGGGTTAAGGGTCTTACTCAGAGACCCAGAGTGGCAGTCTGTGGGAGTGGGGCTCAAACTCAGAATCTCTGGATTCCATGCCCTAACCACTAGGCCGCCACTCCCAGGTGGCCATATCAATGTGTTGTTTTTGCACCATGTTTCTCCTCCCACGCACTGGAAAAACAATCTAGAAATCAGGAAAAAAATTCTTAAATGAATTTAACCTTAATTTGAGTGGGTAAATAAGATAATTTGCCAATTAAATTAGTATTTTTACTCTTAAAATAAGGTAATTAAATAAAATGCACTTAATATAAGACAATACAGTTGTTTTTTCTTATTTTAAATGTAAATTGTCTTTTCCATTGGCAAAATCTCTCTTTTACCTTCTTAATCCAAGAACAAATGCACTTATTTTAAGAAAAACAATGACTTATCTAGATTTCAAATTTTACCGGTTCACTGTTTACATTTGATCACTTCTGCACTTTAAGTAATGGAAATGCTCATTTACTGTCTGGAAAGCTCTACTACTTTTTTGTCTAAGGATTAACTTATCTAAAGGATAAGTTAAATAATTATAGATCCCATCAGTCTGTAGACTATAATGACAGTATTTAGTTTTTATCAGTCTAGACTGCGAGTTTTAAAATGCCTTTATAACATTCAAAAAATTATACCTTTTCTAAAATATAAGACACTGTTTGACATTTGATTCTGACTTGTGACAGTTCCGCTACTGGACTTGACCTGCTAATTATAAAGTATCATAAAATAAGCATTTTCTCGGGAAGTTAAATTCAATTTTGAGTTTGAAGTGTTAATTATTTTATTATCTTTTATTTAAACATTAGGTTTTCTATTTTATTTTTATTCTAAATAGCAAATGAAGTGTGATTATTTCTTTTTATTACCTTTATTACATGTCGATATGCATCGCTTATATCTGCATGGTATTTTCTTGTTCTTAATTTTTAACAGTAAAGCCTGTAGCTGGATAGCCTATTTGCGGGGCATTGGTTACTTTGTTACATGAAATGAAATTGAAAACACTTTAAAATAAAAAGAATCCACCAATAATCCAGCTGTCAATCAAATTGGCTTCCCACAGATTGCTGAGGAAACTTTCAAAGGCAATGAGACCTGGAGCTCACTGCTTGGTTTTCAGCTTCAGTTTGCAAACTTCTGGGAGAATAACAGTTTGAAACCATCTGTTTGTTCAGCAGAGGCATTAGGGAGAGGTGAGTCTGATGAACACAGATGGTCCTGCAGCATTAGTTTACACAGGGAGCAATAAACCAGGTGTATACCCATTTTAATTTGTTCAATTGCCTGTCTGTAATGGAATGATATCAAGCTCAATTTCAATTAGCGGGTACTGTTTCAGAAGATATATTTTTATTCTGTTGGTTAGACAATTTATAGAGGACAGCTGACTAATTTGTTACTTGCAGTTTTTGTGCAATTTTTTTTTTACAAAGTTTCCAAAATGAATCAATCTGCAAGGCAACCTATTATATTTGTAGTAGTAATGAATTATGACTTAATATGTGTATAAAATGATCACGAATGCTTTGTTGGTCTACTGTAGTATAAAACAAACAATATGCTATTTAGTTCTCTCTAATTACATCATGCTGCGTTTTTTTTTAACGTATACAACTGAAACGTGACAAATTAGTGGGTGATTAAGAAGCTTTGTGGGATGCACACGTCATTCAGGTTTGGTTGAGAAGGGAAAACACTGAAGACTGATACCGAGTTATATTCTGAAACAATGACTTTGTTATGTAAGTCTGATGGATAAGAAATATGTATTATATGCTGCAGCATGAGTCATTTTTTTAAAATCAATAACCTATTATATAGATATACTATAGATGTTTACCTATGGTAATTTTTTGTGCATTTATATTTATTTTTTATTAATTCATAACAAATTAAATTAAAAATTTAGCGTTTTACTATCCACTTTTGTAATTTCCCATTTATTAGTAAACTTGGGTATAAAGAACCCCAATAGTAACACGGTGTAAGAGCGCCCCCTTTAGGTTATTATGGCGAAAGAAACCTGCAAATAAAGACAAAGGAAAAGAATAAATGCACACATGTCCCTTCCTAAAAGGCAGCTTGAAATGATGAATTTTTTCATTTTCTATTTTTTCTGTGTCATTTTAATTGTTTCGTTAAATATTTATAGAAGTACATCCCAAAAAGTTTTTTTTTTTTTTGGTAAAATCTATATAACCCACCAGGCTACTGTGTTTTCATTGAGTGACAGATTTAAAAGTTAGGATTATTAAGAATCGAGTGATGGCTTTAGAATTTGGCACAAAACTAATTCTAAGAAAAACTGCAGTGATAAATTAATTTACCAGAAAGCCCTCTAACCAACATGGATACTGAAGAGGATTAGGGCCACTCAAAAACAAAAAAAAAGTTAATTGATTTTTAAATTTTATTTCAGTTTAATATGGGAAAAAGACAGAATTCTGACTTTTATCTCAGAATTCTGATTTTAATCTCAGAATTCTGACTTTTTTTCTCAGAATTCTGACCTTAATCTCAGAATTATGACTTTTCTCAGAATTATGACTTTAGTCTCAGAATTCTGATTTTAATCTCAGAATTCTGACTTTTTT